AAGAGGTGACCTCAACAGAAGTCAATAATTGTACAACATATTTGTAGGACTTAACATATCTAGTTGATTGAAAAGATGCAGCAAGGTGTGTATATGACATTTTCTCATGCTTTGCAGTGATGAAAATCACATACACCTGGCCAATTCATGGCATGTCCTTTAGTTATACCAATAAGAACTGTACACCTTCATATAAATTATTCATGTGTTTGTATTTTTGTAGAGGCCCCATACACCCTGCTTCCATGTGACTGTACAAAGAAGTTTCCTGGGAAGACAGCATTGGACCTAGGTCCCGTGTGGTGAGTGGATGGGTGTGGTGAGTGGGTGGATGGGTGGGTGGGTATGGTACTGAGATGGGTGGGTGGGTGTGGTGAGTGGGAGGGTGGGTGGGTATGGTACTGAAGTGGGTGGGTGGGTGTGGTGAGTGGGTGGGTATGGTACTGAGGTGGGTGGATGGGTGTGGTGAGTGGGAGGGTAGGTGGGTATGGTACTGAAGTGGGTGGGTGGGTGTGGTGAGAGGGTGGGTGGATGGGTGTGGTGAGGTGGGTTGGTGGGTATTGTAATAATGTGGTAGGGTATGGGAGTGAGGTACGTGGGTGGTATGTGGGTGACCCGTGAACTTGAGGTACATATTTTTGTGATTATATTTAACCTGGATCTTGTGTCACAAGCATGGTGGATGAGTATTGTGAGAGTAAGGTAGTGATGTTTTGGGGTTGGGTCTTGAAGGGGAGGTTTGAGCTTTTAACATTTGGTAAGTTCTTAAAAGAGATACAATAAAACAAATAAAAATTTGCAAAATAACAATGTTCCATTGAGAGGTTGTTGGAAATTGAAAGCAGACAAATTTCTTTCATGCTTATTAATTAGGGTGCCATGACATTTACTCACACCTTAAATGTGAAATGTTTTGGAATGTAAAAATTTTTTTATGTAAGATGTCAACCTTTTCATAATTGAAAATACACAGTTATTAGAAATAACAATATGAGATAATTTGGATTATTGCTTTTCTTCCAGGAATGGTAAGATCTTTTCCTGCACGTTCATCAGTAAAATGCTCAAGTCTGCGAGGAATCTGAAGCTGAGTTCTAGACTGTGTTCTTTGTTAGAGACAGTGCATTGCGAGGCTTCGTGTCCAGAGCAAGTGACACCAAGAACGTTAACTAACCACTCACATCTGGGGATTACAGATGAAATGAGAGGAAAAGAAAGTGGCCTCAATGAAGGTGGACAAAATGATAGAGAAAAAACTTTACATAAGCAGACCCAGGGATGTGTTAATATAAGTGAACTAGAGGATGCTCCAATTACCAGTAATTTAAAAAATCTGGAAACAACAGAGGCTGTAGCTAATGAGAGTCGGGGAGAAACACCTTCATCCCTGAAGAGAAAATCTGAGGCTTTAGAGTCACCAGAGGGAGGCACGGTGGCCAAGAAGAGAAAACCTGAAACCTTGAGTGTTGAGGACCCAGTCCCTTTCTATTACAGTGTTCACAGACACAGGATCAAAGGGGTGGATTTGCCAAAGTAAGAATAACTGATAGATTGGGATATTGGATTTTATCAAGTATAAAATTTTATTTTATCTAGTATAATAATTATTTTTGAGAAGAATAGTATTAATTTTTTAATGCCTGACTAACCAAGGGTATCTTCATGAATTTATGACTTTGAAACGTGGATGAATATTTGACGGTAATATGCCAAACAATTCGACCAAGATTAATTAATTAATTTCATGGAAATGTCAGTTTGGTCGAATTGATTAAAAAACAGCAATTGGAAACCTTTGACATCGTCGGATTGTTAGGGGCATCTGCCAAAACGTCCATCTTTCCGGAAGTATTGCATTTTACCGGAAGTGTTACGCAAGATAAGCCGCAATTTTCGCCTAACACGTGTTTCAGGCTTGTTTTATCCTCCTTTTAAAATCTTATTTTGCTGCTGTACAATATGTGCTAACATTACTTAACATTAAAAAAGACGACAATTATAATTTCTAATTATATATTTCCCTCACCTACGATCATTTTCATGATGCGCTTCACGAGTGGGACGAGTACTTCCCCAGAGACGGGTGTTGTAAACAAAGGCCGGTCACTTACATGTATATTTGAAACCGGTAGCTTTAGTAGACTTATACTAGTTATGTGATCTACGTACGCCCTATTTGAATTTTAATATGACAACTGAAATCAATCGAATTGAAATTTTTTACCAGTCTGAGATCAGTTGTTTTCAACCCGCAAGGCTTCCTCAGCGTCGAGGCGTAGACGTACTTCCGAAGAAAATTCAATCACCCGTATCAAAGAATACCAACTGGTACTCAAACGGAATTCAGTGTAACTTCAAATTACTTATAAGTATTTTATTTAAAAAGCATGTCATATTTAAACATATTGAGAAAAGGCAAAATACGGAGCCTACCTGTGCCGATAGACATACAGTAGGCCTA